GAACTTTAATCATTGATTACAAAATAACTTTAGATGATATAAGATTTTAAGATTGAATTAAATTTGCTTAATTTAGATGGTGAATTTAATAAAATAAGATATCAAATGACTGGATGTTTAGTAAAATGTCCTTTTTGTAATAGAAAATGTGATCGTGATATTAGAGAATTAAATCATAAACATGAATGTAGTTAAGGACATTTCTTAAGAGGTATTTATATTATTAATATAATTATAGGATTTTAATAAGTACTTGTAGGTAATAGTCCATCTATATAAACATGTAATGAAATAAAGAATGATTTTAAAGTTTAAAGAGTTGGATAAGTATTTTAATGGGAATAAATTTAATAAGAGCATTAAAATTGGTCATTTAATTCCTAAAAGTAAGAATCTTTATAATTAAAAAATTTACAATTAAAGGCATGGAATGAAGGAGTTGGAAATATAGTTTCATAAACTATTTCAAAGAGAATGAACAAAAAAATCAATATAATAAAAGCAGAAAATAATAATTTTTATTAAGATTCTAACCATTATATATTTATACTTGATGATTCAGGAAGCATGTAAGGATAAAAATGGCAAAACATAAAATAGGGAGCAATAGGAGTAATGAATTTAATAAAAGATTAATAATCAAAAGCAAAATCTTCAGTAATTGTATTTAATACGACTGCCAGATTGGTTTTGGATTAATAATTTATTAATACTTCAACTCAATAACAATATATTGAATATTAAGGTGGAGGTACAGATTATGACTATGCATTTTCCATGTGTTATGATCAAATCATTAAGAATTTTGAATATGATGGGTTTAATTTAAAATTATATTTAGATTTTCCATTTAATTTTATACTGATGGAGAAGCAAGTGTTCCAGATGTTGCAATCAGTAAATTGAGATCCTTACCATAAGAAATACTTAAAAAAATCAATTTAATTATATGTAATAATAATCATTAAGCCTTAGTAACTGAAACAAAATCACCTGGAGTATTGTAATAAATAGTAACTTCTTTGGAAAGCTATCTCAAAAAAGTTTAATTAATAACATCTGTTTAGCCAAATCAAGCATCCTTAATTTTAACTTAAGATGTTTAAGATTAAATTAAAGAAGTAATTAATTGAATCTTATTTTATACATTTATTTTTTTTATTAATTCTAATTTTATTTTTAAATCGTAATAATGAATTATAAATTATTTTGGACAATAATTCCCATTCTTGTAGCTCTATTTAACAATAAATAAAAGATTCTTGATAGAAGAAATCTTTAAATTGCTTTAGAAATCAAATATATTCACTTTAGTAGATAGAAATTTAAAAATCTAAGAATCAAAAAGAATAATACATCTTCAATTAATAATAATTCATCTCTTCTTATTTGAAAAAATGATTTTATTTATTTAATTTAATAATCATTATATAATTCGAAAATTGAATTTTTAATTCTCATATAAAAAATTTATATTCCAAAGATAAAATTTATATTTTTATAAAATACAAATTCGCTTAATTCATCNATAAATTTTAATAAATAAAAAAATTATTTTAATATTAAATGAAGATTAATTAATCTTTAAAAATAAAAAGTAATAAATTATTGGATAAATAAGTTTGATAAATTTATCTGAAAATTACATTTTGTTTTTGGAATTTAAATATTTCAATTTAAGTATTAAGAGTAAAATGTTTAATAATTAAGGTTGTTTTCTTTAATTCAATAAATATTTAATATAGAGACTTTAAGCTATACTCATTAGTCAATTGATAACTTTAATCTATTATAAACAAAGTTAGCAATTATAAAATAATAGAATTGCAATTGATATTCCAATAAGATTACATAAAGAAACTTTAGAAGATCTAATAATTAAACTATAAGTATTAAACTAATTACCCAAAAAATAATTTCATCAATTATTTTACATAGTACATTCTCAAATTGAAAACAAAAAAATTAATTATAAAATTTATTAACTTAAAATTAATGTTCAAGACTAAAATGATAGAAAATGAATAAGATTTTATTTCTTCATGTAAACATCAATAGGCAATATGCATGGTTGTATTTGATCCAAATTTGAACAAAAATTAGAGACTATTATGTCCAATATGCTTAGCTGAATTTGAATCTGATAAAAAAATGATAGGAATAGCTAAAGTCATGCAAATGATTTAAGAAAATTAAAATCAGAAACTAATAAGAGTTGAAAACACTTTACATTCTAATATTAACTTAGTGAAATAATTGTAAGATAATTTAATCAAACTTCAAACTTTTACTCATGAAAAACTATAGATGATAGTTGTCAATTTAGAGAAATGGTTATAAACTTTATCATCATTAGGTTAAAAATATTAATCTTATAGTTTTTTTAATGAACTAGATAATCTAATATAAAATGAAGGATAATCTTAAACAGAAGAGTCCAATATTATTCCAGATATTAGAGTCTTCTATGAATCATATTTTAAAAAAATTGTCTAAAATCTAAAATTCTTCGAATAATTTGAATATTTTTAATAATGTTCAGAAATTCTATTAAAAATTTCAGATATATTTGAACAATAAGGCATTAGAAATGTAAAACAGTTAATATAATTCTAGGCAATTGAACTACTTCAATAAACAAGTAGCATAAATTTGAATGCAATTAAATAGGTTGAGTTAAATGATAATAATAAAGAGATAAATGAATCAATAGAAAAATTATCCAAAAAATTTGAAATAATACTAAAAAATTAAAAAGAATTACATAAGGATAAACAAGAATTATAAAAGCATCTGATGGAATTAATGCATAATCAAAATTCATTAAAATTTAATCTAGAATAATTACAAAAAAGTGAAAAGTAATTATTAGATAGTCAAAAAGAATTACAACATATTCAATTACTAAATAAGTACAGAAACTTAATAAATGATAAGAAAGAATTACAAAATGATTATAAATATTTATTTTAGAAACATGATGATATAATTAAAAGCAAAAGAGACATACAAAGTAGTAATCGAGATTTAATAGTATAATTTGCATAAGCAAAGACTCTCGATATTGATTTAAAATAGATCACTGATTAATTATCAAAAAAACAAAAAGAAATACAAAAAATTGAATCAGAAATATCTAAGATCTAAAGAGAAATTTAGTTAAATAATAAATAATTCAACAATCCTTAAAAAGAATTACCAATAGATCCTTTTTAGTTATAAATGGATCATTATACTTTACAATTAAATGAGTTAAAAAAAAATCTTAATTAATTACTTGATAATCAAAAGTAATTACTAGATAATAAAGATTAACTAATAGTTAAGTCTAGATAAGTACAAGATCATGGCAATAATATATTTCAAGAGCTAAATCAAATCGATGAAGAGGTGCTCAGTTTGATACAAAAATTAATTTAATTAACAATTAATAAGCCTAATGAAACTTCATGATGAATTGAAATCACATTATTATATTCAAAAACAATAAATAATAGTATTTTAATTATAAAAGTATATGAATAACAATTTATTTTTTCAATTCGGAGTGTTTTTAAAATTGTAATGGGCCTAAATGTAGAATTTCTTTATAAGTAAACAAAATTTAAATAAAATTTAATAATTGATTAAATTTGAATATTTGATAAATAGATAATGAATATTAAATAATATTTAAAAAATAAAAATATTACCATCCATATCAAAAAGCAAAATATAAATTACCATAAATAATAATTAGAATCCATTTAAAGTGAAGGAATTGATTGATAAAATTCACAAAATGAATTAATGTTGTACAATAGGTGATCATGGAGTTAATGTAGAATTTATTTGTTTGAACTAATCTTGTAGAGATTTAAGAGTATTTTGCTTTAAATGTTTATAAAATGAGAAACATAATTTACATATGAAGGATGTACATAAATTAAGAGATTATGGGAAATTATTTGAGAATAATAATTAAAGTAATGTATTTGAAGATCTTGAGAGAAATATAGATTATGTTAATACATTATTTAAATGGTTAAAGGATGAAATGTTTAATTCAAATAGTTTAAATTAAGAAGAGATAGAATATTTAAATATTGAATAGCTACATGATTATATATGTAGTTTTATTTAAATGTAAAGTTAGAAATAATCAATATTGGGAATAATTTAAAAGAATGTAGAGAATTTAATATAGACATTAAATAATTGTATAAGTGATTTAGAATTTTCTGCAATGGGTAATCCAGGTAAGAAGATTAAATCAGAATTAAGTAATATAAATTATGATTTAATAAATGAAAGTGAAGAATAATAAATAAATTCAATAGCATTTAATTTGGATTCTAGAATAATGATAGCTGGTTATGAATCAAGTACAATAAAAGTATTTGATTTTATAGATGGTGAAGTTAAATTAAATTAAGAGATAAAGCTTCATAAAAAAAGCATTTATTGTGTTTATCATATGAAAAAGACAAAAGAGTTTATATCAGGAAGTTGTGATAAAACAATAATAATATTTTAATAAGGAGATGATCAATAATGGAATTTAAAATAATAATTAGAAGAACATTAAGGAGGAGTAAATTGTTTAGTAGTAAATAAGGATGAAGACACAATAATATCTGGAAGTGATGATACATTAATTAAAATATGGACAAAAGATAATGATTATTGGACATGTCATTAAACTATTATAGGACATTAACATTATATAAGTTGTATAAGTTTAAATGAAACAGAAAACTAAATTATATCATGTTCTAAACATCCATAAATTTTAATACATTAATAAGAAATTAATAGTAAAGTTTGGGTATTATTATAAACAATTAATGTAAGTACTTGGGGTAGAAGACTTTGTTTTATTAATGATGCTATATTCACTTTTTAACCTGAAAGAAAAGAGTAATTACATGTTTATGAATTTAATTCTAAAAACAATTAATTTTAATTAACTAAAACTATACCTGTTGAAATTGGTACTTGTAGAATTAAAAAAAGAGGTTGTTTTTGGTTTTTCCCTTAATAATTTATTAAAGAAAAATAAATCTTGGTTAATAAAAATGAATGTTCTGTTAATTTAATACTCGTTAATTAAGATGGTTAATTTATTACTAAATAATCTATTGATTATTTTACATCAGGAGTTTTTGGTAGAATGACAGATGATGGTTAATTTTTAATTACATGGGATGATATAAGTAGAAAACTTTAAATAAGATAATTGAAGTAATGAACATCATTTTTATTTATTTCTTATTTATTTTATTCATTTATATTATTAATATAGAATTTTATTTGAATTATTATAAATAAATATAATTCATATCAAATAAACTTTTTTACCTTATTCATCAAACCATAATAAATCTTATTTATGCATATCTTAAATACACTTAAGAAACTATAAATAACTTAATTCATTAGAATGTTTTATTTCAGACCAAATTAAATCAATCATGAAATAATCTACACAAAACTTATATAATAATATAATTAAATTACTTTATCATATTGTTATCTCATTAATTTATATATCTCTTTACATGAATCTCTACTTGAATTTTCATATCTTGCTTAACTTAGAAAATGAGAAAAATTATTAGTTTCTTGTGATTCTTCATCTTATTTTAATGGACTATATTCATCTTCTAATTTATGCAATTATTCAATACCTCTTTTTAATATTTTAATTAAACGAGATACACCATTTCTTTAATTATCTTCTAATTTTTATTATTTATCAGCTATGTTTTAATTAATTTATTAATTTCTTTAAATATTTTCATTTTCTTTTTGACTTTAATTATTATCTTCTAATTTTACTTTATTTGAATCATAATTTTATGAATATTATTCTTCTAATTTCTCTATTTTTTATATTAATTTCTAATTTTTATCTCCAATCTTCTTTTTCTAGTTTGTATAATTTTCTAATTTATAATTATCATTAGAAAAGAAACTATAACAAAATATTGAATCCTATTCATAAGATTCTTCATGTTACATTTTAAATAAATTATTATTTCCATTATCTAATTCATTCCAAAATTCATGATTCTTCCATTCAAATTCATTTCGCAATTCAAATCTATTTTCTAAAGCAATCATATCAAGAATAAAATCTTATTATTCTTAATTCTAATTCACTTCTTTATATTCCTTATATTCCCTTTATTCTTTATATTCCTTTTATTCTTTCTATTCTTCCTATTCTTTATATTCTTTCGACTCTTCCTATTCTTTCTATTCTTCTTATTTTTTTAATTGCCCATCTTATTTTGCATCTTAATTTTCTTATAATTTTATCAGTATTTTCTTCTTCTATAATTACAATTCTTATTTATGCTTATTTCTACTGCTTAAATAATCTTCATCAATAGCTAATTTTTTAGAATAACGAAGCTTTTACACTTTATTATTCATTCCTTTCATAGTTTGTTTTAAATCTTTCTCATTTTACTTTATCTCTTATCCCTTTTCTTAAAGTTTAATCCTTTTAGGAATTTCTTTTTTTCGCTCAAATAGTTTTTCAGTTGTAAATGTTTTCATATTTTGACTTTTACTCTTTTGATTTTCATGGCACAATCCAAGTTAAAAGATTCTTTCACTTTTTCTTAAGTGTTATCTACTTCGTCTCATTTCAATTAAATTTAATACCTCAATTACTAAAGTATTCAAATAATTAGCTCACAGTAATTAAATCACATTGTGATTTCATTTCTGAGTCATTTTTATAATTATATTTTATTTAAATTAAAAGAAAAATTCAATAACAAGAGTCTTCTTTTGATCATAAAATCAACTCAATTCTTTTAACCATAAAATAAACTATTACAATATATAAGACAATTTCATGGGTTTGATTTCGCAATTCAAAGGATTCAAGAATTCTATGAATATTTATATTCCATAATCTTAAAAACAAAATTTTATCATAAAGAATAGATCAGATCAAAGCAAATTATCATTATTGAAAATTAAAAAATAAAATAATTAGAAGAATAAAATTGAAATTCTACTAGTATCATTAATTCATTCTATTTATTTTTTTTAAATCATTTCTTCGTATAGATTTTTAAAAGAGTTTAAACTTGAATTTATAAAAGGAATAAAAAATGATTATTTATATTAAGATAAAAAGTAGACATTTAATTAACCAAAATGATTAAATATAAATTATTATAATAATAATTGAATGTTATACATGAACTTTGAAATAAGTATTTGATTAGATAGAAATTTATATTTGTTAAATTAATAAATAATAATATCTATTTTATCATATATTGAATTTTTAAAATTAATCCATATATGTAATGATATTTAAATAATAAATTATCTGATTAATACATGTGAGTAATTTATTATAAAAATGAGATTTCTGATAAAAAAATAATAATATATAATTATGAGTAAATTGATTAAGTCAATAATGATAGAATAAGATGTTGATCTGTGTTGTTCAAGAAATCACAAATAACCAATACAAATGGTTGTCTTTGATCCTAATTTAACTAAAAATGAGAGACTACTTTGTTAAAATTGTTTAGAAGATTTTGAATCCAATATGAAAATGGTTGGTTTAAACAAAGTTTTATCAAGTATTGATTACAAACAGATCAAATAAAATGAATATAAGGAAAATTTAATATAAACAAACATAGAATAAGTTTAAAATATATAGAGAAGTTTAATTGAAATAAAATAAAACATTCTTTAAACAATAGATTAATTGATTGGAAATTCTGGAGAATGGATTAAAATTCTTTATGAGATTGGAGAATAAACATAAACATATAGTTTTTTTGAAGAATTAGATCATTTAATAACAAATTCTTATAGAGAAGAATAGAATGAAGTTATTCTTAAAGAGATAAAATAAATAAATCTATCTTGGATAACTAAAACAACTTAGAAAATTTAATGTTTGAATTAAAATTACAAATAATTAATCATAGATCTAAAATAAAAAATATAGAGTGTTGTATAAAATAATTAAAAGAAGGAATAGATAAAATAATTAGTTAATGATCCTATAAATTTAAAATTAGTGAATAATAATTAAAATTAATTTGATGATTGTTTTGCAATATCATTTAATAATGATGGATCAATGATGGTTTCAGGATGTAGTAAAGATATTAAAATTTGGGAGTTTTAAAATGGTAAAATAAGAGAAGTTTTAAAATTGAAAGGACATACAGATGTAATTAGATGTCTTACTTTTGCTAATTAAAATAATAGTATAATATCTGGTTCTGGAGATTGTTCAATAAGATGTTGGAAATAACTTAATTTTAAATAATGGAAATCTTCTTAAGCATATACAGATCATACTGATTAAATTGAATGCATATTATTAAGTAAAGATGATACTTAATTAATATCTTGTAGTTAAGATAAATCTATTAAAATTTGGACTTTTGATATTTATAATAATGAACTAAAATTTAAGTAATCATTAATGGAAAGTAAATGTTGTTTAAATAGTATATCATTAAATTTTGCTGAAACTATTTTAATTTCATGTGGAGATGATAAATAAATTAATATGTGGTAAAAGAATCAGTCTAAAGATTGGGAGTATAAAAATATAATTACATAATCTTAGAATGAATATGGAACTAAAGTATGTTTCTTAAGAAATGATTTATTTATTTGGGTTGGTGGTGATATTTAGAATAAAAATTATATTCGTGTTTTTGAATTAAAGGATTAAACATTTATAGAGAATACTTAAAAAACAATAGAATTAGAGAATGATGAAGAAATATTTGACTTGAATCTATTTCCTATTGTTTATAATTAGGATTAAAATATTATACTTATTCGACATAAATTTTCTATTTATTTACTTAGAGAATAAAATGATGGTACATATAAGATAGAATAAAAGATAAAATAATTAAGTAATTCGATTTAAGGTTCAATGACGAAAGATGCCAAATATTTAACCTTTTGGGATTCTAATTAAAAAACATATTAAATTTATTAAATAGAAACTAAATGATTTTTACTATTGTATTTTAGTATAATTATATTTAGAGTAAATAATATATAAATTATTTTAAAATATACAATCAATTTTCTTAACTATTATTTTCTTTTAAAGTTCTAATTTTTCTATTTGATGCATTTTTTGGACTATTTTCATTTTATTTATCAATTGAATTTTATTTTTTGTTAGCTTTCTTTTTTCCTTCTTATTCAATTTGCATTGCTTCTTAAGCATTTTTCTTTTTGTTTTATTTTTTTTTTTAATCTTTAGGTAATTTTTCTGCTTAATTGATGAGTTTATTTTCTATACTTACCATTTCTTCATAAGCTTCTAAAAATTTATTTAGATCTTCTATCCACATAGTTGAAATTTCTTTATTATATAAATTATCTTTAGCTTAAAGTCTAGATTCTAATTCTTCTTCTAATTTTTTAACTTTTTCATTAGTTAAAGAAAATAGTGGCATAGATAATAGATAATTATAATCACTAATATCAATTTTAGTATTATTAATTTATGGATTTTCAACAATTTCTGGTTTTTTCTTACTTATATTTTCATCACCAGATGCTTCGGATGTATCATCATCATCTACATTTTTCTTAGGATTTTTATGATCACCAAAAGCTTATAATTTAGTAGATTTAACAGGAATTAATTATGAAAATCTTGTAAATTAATGGTTATCTAATTATTAAACAACTTCTTATTTTTTAACATTTTTTAATCTAATTTCTTCTGATATAACCATTTTAATAAATCTTGATTTATTATATAATAATTAAACTTCTCTATCAATTTTTGAAAGTAGATAATCTTTACGCATTTAATAAAATTATAATCTAACCTAATAAAATTCTTCTAAAATTTCAGCAATTGATTCATATTTTTTTATTTTATTTTATCCATCAAAAAGTACCATATTATTATTAGAAAATGGTGATAATAATTTAAAATATTCATATGGATTCTTTAATTAAGCAACATATCCTTCAGTCATTTATATTTCGAAATGAATTTTATATTTAGTATGATATTCTTTAAGATCAATTATAGGATTACCTTCTTAAGCAATTTCTTTATCTAACCATTCTTTATAATTTTTAGTCCATTTTTTAATAGGTAATTCTTTAATAATAACAATATCATTTTCTTCATTACATTCTACAATACCTTTAACAAGACTATTTCCATTAGGTTGAGTTTCAATAATTCCATCAAAATTTCTATAGTATGGAGTAAGATTATCAAATTATTCTCCATTAAGTCTTTTTTTAATTTATTCAACTAATTCAATAGGATTATAATTTTAAATTGAAGTAGACCAACCAGTACCAATACCTTCAGCTCCATTAACTAAACTCATAGGAATTATAGGAGCATAGTACTCAGGTTCAACCATTTCACCATCATCCTCAATATATTTTAATATATGATCATCTTATTCTGGAAATATATATCTTGTTATTTTATTTAATGCTGTTGAAATATATCTTGCAGAAGCATGATCTTTACCCCCCATAGCTCTACTACCAAATTAACCTCTAGGTAATAATAGATTTATATTATTTGAACCAACAAAATTTTAAGCCATACCAATTATTGTTGTGACTAATGAAATATCACCATGATGATATGCCGAATGTTCAGCTATATATCCACCCAGTTATACTACTTTTATTTCTTACTTTAAATTTCTTTTAAAACAAGCGAATAAGACCTTTCTTTAACCAGGTTTTAAACCATCCATCATAGAAGGTATTGATCTAATATTATCAGCCATTGAAAAATGAATAAGTTCTTTATGAATAAAATCTTAATATCCCAATTCTTTTTATGTGTGATCAACATATAAATCATGATTATATTGTGCTAACCATTATTTTCTATCATTAGCTTTTTTCTTATTAAAACATAAATCAATAGATTAATCATCATCTTCACCGTCATATCTAAATTAGATTGTATGTGTAACAAGATTTCTAAAATATTCTTATGCTTCTACATCATCTGATGTACCTAATCCTTTATAATATTTAATCTTCCATGTTTTAACATCTTATATTTAAGCAAACTTATTAAAATCTTAAACTGTAAAAAAAGGTATAGTTTGATTACCTTTAGATGCTTTAATCAAAGGAGTAACAAACTCTTTTAAAAATCCCCTATATTTTAATAATGAAGGCCAAAAATGATGAATAAAATTGATAATTAATCCTTTAATATGTGAGCCATCTATATCTTAATCAGTCATTATCATAACTGATCCATATCTTAAAGATTTTAAATCTACATATTCTCTATCTTTTTATAATCCAATAATTTTAATTAGATTTTAAATTTCATCATTTTCCATTATCTATTTTACAGATGCTTCTCTAACATTTAATAATTTACCCTTTAAAGGAAATACTCCATATCTATCTCTTCCTACAATATCTATACCAGCCATAGCTAATGCTTTTGCTGAATCTCCTTCTGTTAATATTAAAGTACAAAATTCAGAATTCTTTTTTCCAGCATCATTTGCATCATCTAATTTTTCTATTCCATGTAATTTACCTGTTTTTGTACCTTTTAATTATTTATTTAATTTTGCATCTGCTTTTGCTTTTGCTTATTAAAATATTGTTTCTATAATATCAGTCTTTATTAAAGCTTTTGAAAACTTTTCTGTTACTTTAAATTTTTCTTCATCATTTCCACCAAAATCTGTTACTCTAGTAGTTAAATTTTCTTTTGTTTATGAATCAAATGTTGGATTATTTATTAAACAATTTATAAATACCCATAATGTTTATTTTATTTAATATTTTTATACCTCTAAATGTTTATATTTCTTATTACTCTTCATCTCATTTTAAATTTCTTAAATTATTTTATCTGTAACATAAGTAACATGAGTTCCACCTTTTGAAGTAAAAATAGAATTAACAAATGAAACATGTTAAAATTAAGTAGGTGAATAACTTACTACTACTTCCCATCTTGGAGTTGTCATCTCTTTATCATAAATCTTTATAGAATTATTAGGTAAATATAAATCAACATATTTCTAAAATGAATTTATTGCTATTTTTTCATCATTTAAATATACATTAATTCTACTACCATATATACCTGCCATATCATATACTCTTCTTACTAATAAAGCTTAAGTATCTTCTTCTATCTCATTCATACCGAATCTTTTTAAATCTGGTTTATAACTTATTTATACAAATGGATCTTTTTTCATCTGTTTTATTATTGGTATCTATTTATTACTCATATTATTGCTCCAAACCTATTTTAAATAATTGCTTCCATCACAAACTTCAACTGAAAATTCACTTGAGTAAACATTAGTCAATTTCGCACCATAACCATTTCTTCCTCCTACTACTCTTTTCTCTGTATCATCAAAGTTACTCCCTGTTAAAAATACTCCAAATATTAATTCAGGAACATATAATTAATATTCCTTATGTATTTCTACTGGAATTGGTTATCCATCATTTTTTACAGAAATCTAGTTACCTATTTCAACTCTTAATTAAGTCATCTTATGTGTTTAATTATTCCTTTAAATATTATCTGCTGCATTCACTAATATCTCATCAAATATCTTAAAAAATGCTGGAACATATTCAATCTCTTTATAAACCATTTTACCATTTTTCACTATCCACATCAACTCTGTCATCTTTTAAACACTTCCAATATATGTATCAGGTCTATTTAAAATATGTTCTATATGACTCATTTTCTTATATTGCTCTTCTATTGTCTTTGGACGCATTAACTTTTAAAATTATTAAAAAATTTAAAATTTATTTACTTAAAATTCTAGTTAAATAATAATATAAATTTCATCTTTCTCAATTTTTATTCAATCACTCAAATTAGTTCATTTTTTTCATAATTAACCAATTTCAAACTTAATTAATCTTAAATTATTTATTAATTAAACCTTTTATTCCATTATTATTTGTATTTTTCCAATCTAAATCTTTATCCAAGTATTATCTAAATAATCAAGGGACATTTATTTATATTTCTTGAGAAACTTAGTAATTATAAAAATTATTTAAGGAATATTTAACTTAAGTATAAATGTGCACTTCATATCTGAATCAAAACTTACAGGTAAAAATTCAGAGTCTACTTTTTTTTTTTTTGTTTTTAATATTATCTTAATCTTAAACTAGAGAAATCCAGAAGCAAAAAAAAAATATAGATTAATTACAACTGGGCGTCTTTAGGAACAAAAAGAAATGATTGGATAATGACCAAAAAGAGAAAATTGTGATGAAATTGCCAAAAGAAAAAGAGATCATTATTTCAAATTTTAAACGATTAATTTAATTTTGATTATTTAATAAATAATAATTAAAAATAAAATAAATATAAATTAAATGTTTATCATATTTTAAATGATTAATTTATTACAATTTTAAAAATATTAAATTTCATAAAAAATACTAAATGCATATTTTTTTTATAGAAGCAGGAGTAAAAAAAGTATGAAAATATAAGAATAGATAAATTACTTATAATCATTAAATTATTAAATGAAAATTATAATTTTGATTGTTATTTTCAATTTTGGAATATAAGCACAAAGTGTCGAATTTCAGAAAATTAAAAATAATGATACAGAATATTATAATATAGAAGTCTGAAGTCAAGAAAGAAATGAAATCGAAAAGTGGGATCAAAGATCAGTTTTCTGGAAATACTGTATATAATTGGATTTATGATTGTGAATAACTACTTATAAAATGTAAAGTTAGAATGCCATATTGGAACAATCAATCTGAGGTTTCAGATATATCTATGATTTAAAGTTGAAATCAGTTTTAAATGGATTATTCATTCATGAACAGAGTTATGTTAATAGCATGTGCGAACGCTTTTTTGCTGAATCTCCAAATCCATAAAAAAGTAACTTTAAATTTATTTTTTGCATATTAAAAATAAATAAATGGTAGAGTTTTTATAGAATTTTTGAATTGAAATTAATAATGGAATTTAGGGAGCATTTATCTATTCGGATGAATAATACGAATCAAATGGAAAATACTAATTGATAGCATATTCAAAAATGACAGGAAAATATGGTTAAACTTAGGTATTAAAGAATCAGATTAAGCAAAAAAAGATGCTTTAGGATACTTCAAATCAGAAGGGTGTTAAGTTTCATCTATTTCAACAAAATGTCTTTAGTTAATTCTAGATAAAACTACCTTTTGCATATTGATGGGCAGAAGCCTCAAACTCTCAGACTTCTTTTTATAGAGCCTATGAATATTGATTAAAATATTCTTCTTCCTGTGAATGGATAATCATTATCTGCTCTGATGGAAAGAATATAATCGAAGAGTGATAAAAATTATATTCAATTCAACCATCAATTTAAAATTTTTAGAGGTTTAATTTCTAGGCTCAATCTAAGTACTTTCATTGATCACACCTTTTCGTGCTTCTTCTCTTAAACTCCTATCAACAGATACAATATTTTTTTTTTAGGATTCCTGGAACTTCATTAGATAAGTTCAGACCTTTTGACAACATTTTGAATTTTGGAAAAGAGTACCAATAAAATTCGATTCTTATGAATCTATAAATGTACCTTATAAAATATTTTGCATCAAAAAAGTATATATTTAATTTTTATGAAAATATTACATTATTTA